TGACAAAACGTGATCCACTGGAGAAGGAAATGGCAACCCACTCCAGTATCTTTGCCATGAAAACCCCATGGACAGTATCAAAAGGCAAAAAGATATGACACTGGAAATTGAGCCCCTCAGGTCGGAAGGTGTCCAATAAGCTACTGGGGAAGAGGAGAGGGCTAATACTAGTAGTGCCAGAAAGAATGAAGCGACTGGGTCAAAGCCTCAGCAACTCAGTTGCTGATGTATCTGGTGGTAAAAGGAGAGTCTGATGCTGCAAAGATCTATACTCCATAGGAACCTGGAATGTAAGATCCATGAATCAAGGCAAACTGGACGTGGTCAAACAAGAGATGACAAGACTGAACATCGACATTTTAGGAATCATTGAACTAAAATGGACAGGAATGGGTGAATTTAATTCAGATGACCATCAGGTATACTACTGTGGGCAAGAATCCCTCAGAAGAAATGGAGTAGCCTTCATAGTCAATAAAAGAGTAGGAAAAGCAGTACTGGGATACAATCTCCAAAATGACAGAATGATCTCAGTTCGAATCCAAGGCAAACCATTCAACATAACAGTAGTCCAAGTCTATGCCCCAACCACTGGTGCTGAAGAGGCTGAAGTTGACTGGTTCTATGAAGGCCTACAACACCTTCTAGAATTAACACCCAAAAATGATGTCCTTATCATCATGGGGGATTGGAATGCTAAAGTAGGAAGCCAAAAGATAACTGGAATAACAGGCAAATTTGGCCTTGGAGTACAAAATGAAAAAGGGCACAGGCTGGTAGAATTTTGTCAAGAGAATATGATGGTCATAGCAAACACTCTTTTCCAACAACCCAAGAGATGACTCTACACATGGACATCACCAGACAGTCAACATAGAAATCAGATTGACTATGTGCTCTGCAGCCAAAGTTGGAGAAGCTCTCTACAGTCAGTAAAAACTAGACCAGGAGCTGACTGTGGCTCAGATCATGAGCTTCTGGTTGCAAAATTTAGGCTTAAGTTGAACAAAGTAGGAAAAAGCATCAGGTCACTCAGATATGAGTATATTCGTATCCCTGATGAATATACAATAGAGGTGACAAATAGATTCCAGGAATTGGATCTGATAGACAGAGTGCCTGAAGAACTATGGATGGAGGTTCGCAACATTGTACAAGAGGTAGCAACTAAAACCATCCCAAAGAAAAAGAAACGCAAGAAAGCAAAATGGCTGTCTGAGGAAGCTTTACAAATAGCTGAGGAAAGAAGGGAAGTGAAAGGCAAGGGAGAAAGAGAAAGATACAAACAATTGAATGCAGAATTCCAGAGAATAGCAAGAAGAGATAAGAATGCCTTCATAAATGAACAGTGCAAAGAAATAGAGGAAAACAATAGAATAGGGAAGACCAGAGATATTTTCAAGATAATTGGAGATATGAAGGGAATGTTTCATGCAAAGATGGGCATGATAAAGGACCAAAATGGCAGGAACCTAACAGAGGCAGAAGAGGTTAAGAAGAGGTGGCAAGATTACACAGAAGAACTATACAAGAAAGAGCTTAACATCCCTGATAACCACGATGGGGTGGTCACTGACCTCGAGCCAGACATCCTGGAATGTGAAGTCAAATGGGCCTTAGGAAGTCTGAGCAACAACAAAGCAGAGGTGACAGTATTCCAGCTGAGCTATTCAAAATCTTAAAAGACGATGCAGTAAAAGTGCTACACTCAATATGCCAGAAAACTTGGAAAACTCAGCAGTGGCCACAGGATTGGAAAAGGTCAGTTTACATTCCCATCCCAAAGAAGGGCAATGCCAAAGAATGTTCAAACTACTGCACCATTGCACTCATTTCACATGCTAGCAAAGTGATGCTCAAAATCCTACAAGCTAGGCTCCAGCAGTATGTGGACTGAGAACTACCAGAAGTACAGGCAGGATTTCGAAGCGGGAGAGGAATTAGAGATCAGATTGCCAACATACACTGGATCATGGAGAAAGCTAGGGAGTTCCAGAAGAACATCTACTTCTGCTTCATTGACTATGCTAAAGCCTTTGATTGTGTGGATCACAACGAATTGTGGCAAGTTCTTAAAGAGATGGGAGTACCAGATCATCTTATTTGTCTCTTGAGAAACTGATATGCGGGTCAAGAAGCAACAGTGAGAACTGGACACGGAACCACTGATTTGTTCAAAATTGGGAAAGGAGCTCGGCAAGGCTGTACACTGTCACCCTGCCTATTTGTATATGCAGAGCACATCATGAGAAAGGTGGGGCTAGATGAATCACCAGTTGGAATTAAGATTGCTGGTAGAAATATCAACAACCTCAAATATGCAGATGATACCACTCTAATGGTGGAAAGTGAAGAGGAACTAAAGAGCCTCTTGATGTGGGTGAAGGAGGAGAGGGCAAAAGTTGGCTTGAAACTCAACATTAAGAAAACTAAGATCATGGCATCTGGTCCTTTCACTTCCTGGCAAATAGATGGGGAATAAATGGAGGTAGTGACAGATTATATTTTCCTGGGCTCCAAGATCACTGCAGCCAAGATGCTTGCTCCAGGGGAGGAAAGGTATTGCAAATCTAGACAGCATAATAAAAAGGAGAGACATCACCCTGCCAACAAAAGTGTGTATAGTCAAGGCTATGGTTTTCCCAGTTGCAATTTATGGCTGTGAAAGGCTGAACGCCAAAGGACCGAGACCTTTGAACTATGGTGCTGGAGGAGACTCCTGCGAGCCCCTTGGACTGCAAGGCGATCAAACTGGTCAGTCCTAGAGGAGATCAACCCTGACTGCTCTTTAGAAGGCCAGATCCTGAAGATGAAACTCAAATGCTTTGGCCACCTAATGAGAAGGAAGGACTCCCTGGAGAAGGGTCTAATGCTGGGAACAATAGATGGCAAAAGAAGAAGGGGACGGCAGAGGATGAGGTGGCTGGATGGAGTCACTGAAGCAGTTGGTGTGAGCTTAAGTGGACTCCAGGGGATGGTGGAGGACAGGAAGGCCTGGAGGAATGTTGTCCATGGGGTCGTGATGGGGGGGGACACGACTTCACGACTAACAACAACAACAATTTCAAAGCTCTGTAATTTTGACTTGACTAGACCCAGATGTTATTAAGTAGGGAATGGCCATTTCATCCTGACTGGGTGGTAAGGAAGCACATCACCCTCCCGAAGAATGGCAACATGGTGAACCCCACTGATGCAAGAGGAGGCATTCGTAAACTGAAAGCACTCCATATTTTTCTTTTTGTTGGAAGGTCCTACTTGCATGTCTCGTTTCTCTTTGCTCGTGGAGTACACAGCTTTGCAAGCATCTGAGGGTACTGATGCCCAACATGAAAACAAGTCCTCTCTGTTTCTACACTTCATTCTAGTACCCATAGAATGGGACCCAAATTGCCTGACCAGGCCAAATTCATTTTAGAGGCACAAAATAGGTATCCATACATGTAATTTCCACAGGCAGATGGGTATTGTGCAAACTATTTGACTTGATAAGAACCAGAGTGCCATGGAAGCAATCTCAACAGACTGGCCATTTGGGCAGGGGAGCAGAAGATGCACCATCAATGCAGCCAGTATCTATTTATTTATCTATCATTTATTTATTATTTTGATTTTTATGCTGCTACACCATATCTGGGCTCTCTGCACAGCTCACTATATTAAAACAGCACAACCTTTTAAAATGAATAGCATTAAATCAACACATTGGAAACATATTAACAGCATAATCCAAATATAAAACATGATATATCAAAATTAAAATATAAGACATTAAATAAAGCAATTTTAGCTTAAAACAACTAACACGAAAATGGGGTTAATTTTAAACCAAATGTCCATTAAGATTCATTGTTAAAAAGCTGGTGAAAAGGTATGTCTTTGCCTGGAACTGAAATGCTAGCAGTGTTGGCACCTGACACACCTTTCTGGAGAGCCTATTCCAGAGGTGGGATGCAGCTGCCAAGAAAGTCCTTCTTCTCCTCAGCTTCCCCCTCGCCTCCCTTGCAGATGGCTCCTTAAGAAGGGCCCCCTGGCTCAGTCTGAATGGATGAATAGGGTTATACGGGAGCAGATGATCCTTTAGGTACCCTGAACCCAAGCCTGGGTGAACCAGGCTTGTAAGCTAGGCTTGTGCTCTTGACTCAAACCATTTCTAGGTTTGCCCATCTCTTGAGAACTGCTTTGGGTGACACTGGAAATTATCCTTATGCTCTAGCAAGTCCCACCATTAATGCAAAGGGAAGCTGGTCGTTGCTGAAGCGGTTCTTTGCAAACAATACTCAACAGAATGCACCCCCTTTTAAGACAGATTATTTCCAACATGGACTTCACTGCCTTTGAACGGCATCATATTTCAGGTTGTGTATAGGCCTCTCGGTGCATGTTAGAGTTCTTTAGCATTTCTTTCCCTGTGTTATGGATTCCACCTTCAGCTTAAGCTGCTTTTCCTGTCATCATTTTGCACAGGGAAAACTGGCAAGGGATAAATTTACTATAATTCATATCAGTGACCTGAATGAGTAACTCCCGAACTTCGAAGAGTCACCATGCTTGTATTTAATTATAAGGCTGACAATTTCCATTTGGAAATCTATCTCCATTTTGAAACTTTAAAAGAATCTCATGTTGATTCCTGCCTGCCCTTTTCCCCAGAAAATAAAATGGAGCATTCTTACCATTTTGTTTGTTTGTTCATTTGTTTTTTTGGCAATGTAGCCATAGGTAAAACAATATCCCGCTTCTTGACCCAATTCGTTTCAAAGCCACTGAGCTAAGAGTTAAGAATCAGAATGATTTAAGCTACAATAAGGGATGTGATCCAGATGAATTCTGTGGTGACCAGGAGGCTCTTTTGGAGGTTATTTTCTTGCCTTCTTGTGACATGGGACGTAAC